TCCTCCTCCTCCTCCTCCTCCTCCTCCTCCTCCTCCCTCCTCCTCTATGAAAAAGATGACTGGGATATACTAGTGAGTGTATGTTCTTTTTTTCCCCCAACATAAATTCCTGCTTCATAGCTGCTATTAGCCCCAGAGGACAGGGCAAGACAATACGGGCAGAACCAATTAATAACCTGGAAGTAGTGGGAAAGGGATGGTTTAAAATAAAGTAAATGGCACAGTTCAGTACATAAAACAGCCTGCTTTCCATCCATTTTTAGATGTCATGTAAGCCAGTGTTTCTTAACCTTAGCAACTTTAAGATGTAAGGACTTCAGCTCTGCTTGCTGGGGAATTCTGGGAGTTGAGGTCCACGCATCTTAAAGTTGCCAAGGTTGAAAAACACTGACGTAAGCAGTCACTTACACAGATGCTTTGAAGTTACTGTATTTAAAAAGCCCGGTATTCAGACTGTGGCTACTACCCAGTCTGATTGCACTGTACTGATATAGCCCTTTCAAAGTAACTGAATGTTGACAGAACCCAGACACATATGTCTGTGTTATTTTGCACAAGTCACAAGTAGAGAGCTAGTCTTGGAGATCTAAGTTCAGCAGGACCCTTGTTAGAGGATATGCTCCTAAGCATACACAGAGTGAATATCAGGTAATTAAGAAGCAGCAGGTCCCATTAAAAAAATGCTTGATAATATGGATGATTGGGATGCAGAGTATATTAATGAATGCTATAGACATTCATTTTATTTGCAGTAAAAAGTAGATTTATTAAGAAATAAATAGGTGAGGAAAGCCTTACTTCCATTTACACTATATCTTGGAGAGGGAGACACAGGGAGTTCCCTAACCTCTTAAACACAGAGATTCCTTTGACTAACTGGTGGTCAAATAGGTTGATGGATGCAAAGAGATGATGTAATCTCCACTAGGAATCAAAGGAATCCCAAATGTTCCCATTAGATAATGGTGGCTTACAACTCTTGGCCACAGACATTGACACCGGCTGCACCGATCATTTACAGCAACATTTTTGGCTCCTAGAACTATGAACTGTATGATTCTGGGGTCCAGGGGTGCTTTGATTCAACCAAGATCAAGTGTCGGCAGTTTGGTGGACTGCATATTTTGATGTTGTTGTCATTAGTGGGCATTTTATAAATGTTTTTCTGTTATCAGAAACAAGAACATCCTTATCGTTATGACTCTCTAGAAGTGGAATTCAGGCTGTCAGATGTGTAAGTGATTTGTTATTTGAAAGCTGATATGAAACAGTAAATCATTGTTCATGGCTTGGTTCTTGGAAAATTCCGCCTTTGTATTATTTAGTAGGTAACAAAGCTTGTTTCTGGATTTGGGTATTCTATCCTACCCTATCCTATCCTACCCTACCCTACCTACTCTGTTTATTAAGCTTTGTATGCCACTCTAATCACATACAATTCTGCAGTGATTGATTGAGGAATCCCATACAAATTTATTCTAATATATTGGCTGGGTTCATGCAACATAATAAACTGAAACACAAATCTCTGTTCATATAACATGCTGTATCCAAATAAATGAAACATAATATTGGGTAACTTTGGTCCTGGTTTAGACAATATGCTAAACAATCTTGTAGTTCCTACAGCATACTGAACCACAAACTATTCATCCCTATGTTAGCCCAGTCTAGAATATTATGTGAAATCAACCATCCACAAGTAGAACAGGTTCACCCTTCCAATTCTACCTCAGTACAGTATGTATTCCCTCTCCCAAAAGTTTCCCAAAAGGGTTAAAGGATTTCCAGTTCTGGAACAGCTTTGTGGTTGTGAGTCTGCTTCCTTAATATTGGCAGTAGTCAATTTCTGAATTGTCAGAACCTGGATCCTGGCAAGCCAGTTTGATTTAGACAAGGATCCTTAGCCACTAATCCATTATTATTTTGAACATAAAGAACTATGTTTCTTATTTTTGTTTCTACATTGTATATTTTAGAAGTTACCATAAAGAACAGGAAAGAGATCAATTTCTGGTCTATTTGGTCAGCAAAAGACATTTTTTTGCTTCTGTAGCAATTGTAAGCAATAGGATCTTTTCATGGTGGCCACCACTTCCTGGATTGCCCCCATCTCCATTCAAGGAGGTTCTCTAATCCTAACCCAAGCCCTAACCCAGGGTAAGGTAGAGTACGATAGGATACCCAAATCCACAAACAAGCTCTGTTACCTGCTAGATCAATTTGTAGGTGGAAGAGGAACATACTTTATTTATTAAATTTATAATCTGCCTTTTTGCTTATATAATCACTGATGGTGAATTTACAACAAGAAAACAAAATACAAAAGGTGTTTAGTTGACAAATTATCTTGCCCTTTAATTCAGTGCTATACAATGATGGTATTGTTTTATTCTATGATGATGATGATTATATTTTGGATTTGGTTTTTCCATGTTCCATTACATTTTATTTGTGCCACTTTAAATTCAGATCATGGACAAACTGATAAAAACTTACGGAGTGAAGACGTTTACTCTGTGCCACAATGCACAAACATCTTAATGATTTGTCTGAGCATCTTTAGTTGCAGTTTGTAGACCAGAATGTCTGCACCTCTTTGTATTCCCTTCTTTGTTAAAAACTCAGAGAGCCTCTTTTTCTTGTCAGTCATTCACAAAACCTTATTTCTAAAACAGCAGTGACTAACAAAATTGGTCTTACTTGTTCTTTTGTTGTTTCTTTTTCCTTTGTTCCTCTGCTTTTTAGGCTAGGCCCTCCTGAGCAACTGATTTCCAATGGTGTCATAGTGGTAAGTCTATCTGGAGTCCTCTTGTGTAAACCAGCCTTCTCTATGGTAACCACAGGGGGTGGAAAATCTGCAAGGTGCAGGTTGGGAAAAATGGGTGTACGCCATCATTATTCGCCACAGGAAGCACTGCATTATGGGATATGATTTAATGCAAGGAAAGAAACAGATCAGAAGTTCCAGACACATGGAAACTGCACTGTTGCCTTTTTGTTTTCATAGGCCCGTGAACTTTCCATTTTGGATGTAAAAGTGAACAAGGAGGAAAATGAGAAGGTTTTGCGAGGTATGTCCTGTTTTTGTGTGTGTGCGTGCCTTTGTGTCAGTGTTGACTTCTGGAGATTGCCTAGATGAGTCCCTGAACTTTTCAAGACGTTTGCCATTCCCTCCTTCCTAGGGCTGAGAGGAATTGACTGGCCCAAGGTGCCCCAGCTGGCTTCATGCCTAAAGTGGGATTAGAACTCATGGTCTCCCAGTTTCTAGCCTGGTGCCTTAACCACCACACCAAACTGGCTGTCTTTATAGGGACTCTTTTATCTTATATAACCCGTTGGTTATATAAGTTTTACCAGACTCCTTTTAATTGCAGAGCACTTATTAGGTTGCAGTCCTGGACTTACCTGGATTAAGCAGGTAATTTAATATATAAAAAACTCTCTTAATTTACTAAAAAGGCAATCCTGATAGGCTGTGCAGGATGTTTAAAAAGTATGATTTTAAAATAATTACTGCAAAAGGCAGATGTGTAATATAGTACTTGTACTAAAAGTATTTTTTAAAATGTGCTGACTTATTTATTACTCTGTTTTGAGTAAATTAATAATTAAATCAAATGGTTTCAATCAATTAATCATTCAGGAAAGAATACCTTTCCATGATGCATTTATTGCACATAAACATAGGAAAATTATGTTTTACAATTGTGGATTCCAGCTGTTCTGATCTGCTGGGATAGTCCCAAAAGGTGCATTCATCTTGCAACCAACATTGGGACATACCTCTGAAAAGTAGGGTTTGCACTGTAATTTTGCAACAGACATTTCATCGTTTTTTTTAAATCATTGTGGTTTGTAGCAGATGCTGATGGCCAAATTTCTAAAAAGAGACGATGCCCCTAAGGCATATCAGGAGATCTATAGAGGTTGGGTGGTGGATCAGTGGGAGTGCTTCAGAGTTAAAGACAGGTTATTCCTCCAGTTCGGACCTCTTCTGATATTTGTATCACTGGTTATTACTTTAGTTCTGGTCTTCTGCTTTAGAAGAACGTTTATTTTGAAGCACTGCACATTACTCCAGGGGAGGGCTTTTCTAATATAGATCAACAGTTTATTTCCAAAATCTTATTGTTGCACTATTCTTAAACAGATATCCAAGCAAAAAATGTCATGAAACGACATTTAATTCCTAATTCTCTGCAGAGGGGAAAGATTTTTAAAGCCATCCAGAAAAGGAAAAATTGATACAGTGATACCTCAGGATACGAACGCCTCTGCTTGCGAATTTTTCGGGTTACGACCAGCTCTAGCCCCAAAATTTTACCTCGTTTTGCGAACCCCGCCTCGGGGTACGAGCCATTTTCTGCCCGTGCCACGTGGTCCGCGGCCATTTTC